GAATGTAAAGGATGTATAAAAAGGTTTTTAGTGTGTATCTTAAGCCCACAGTAGTTAATAAATGTGCTGATAAGTCCACCGTGCGTGGGTGGTTTGGAGAAGGCTAACCTCTGACCCCCTACACCCGACTAACCCAGGCACATCGTACATTAATACAAAACCAAACTACGATGAATTATGGCCAACCGTGCAATGGGGGAGCACATTTCTGAATTTACTTTAAATGTTTAAAAAAATCTATTATTTTGTCATCTGCATTTCAAGCGTGGAACTCATTAAGATTATGAATTGACTCTTTCAAGCATGGACACAGCACGCTCCGTCGGTTTCACTGCCCTAGAGCAGGACAAAAGGACGCACTCCAGGGCCCCTTTGCCTCCACCCTGAACTCAACACACACACGAGCACGCACCCACACACAACGTTCAAGAACTCGTACACACATGTGCACGCACTCACCCCCAAACATGTGCACGCACTTACACACATGTGGAAAAACAAAGACAAAGATCCCCCCCCGTATAACCTTGACAGACTGTTGGGGCAAGCGCTGTTCGAGAGTAGCACCTATGAAGGCCGGCACGGCACACGACGTGGTGCCGGTCGCCTTTGACTCACCAGTGGCGATGTTTACACATCGCACCAGGTACTCATTTGAGGTTGAGCCAACCTAGGGGAGGCCCAAGACCGGTTGAAATAATTGTCGCCGGTGTTGGCCGCGAGCGGGAATCGAACCTGGGTCGCCGGGTTCGTAGCGCAGCGCTCTGACCACTGCGCCACCGCTCTCCGCTGCACATGCTCGCACTCAAACACGTGCACTCTAACCTGCAATGCAATGGACGGTTGGGATGCGTTCCCCATATCCGGACTAATCCAAGAGTCCAGAAATCAGGCCAAGATGTGAAATTCCGGGAGATAAAAGTTTTGATTTGGTTCCAAAACCCGTTGGAAAGTTTTAACTCACTGGTAATTATGTCACATTATTTCACTTCCACACTTTCACCACCAAACGTGGTGTGTGTGTCTTGTGGCATTTAGTGACGTCATTTTTTGTAGCATGGAGATACATTACACTATAACATAATGTAAACGAACTGGAAATTATCCTTAAAAATCCCAAAAACGAAAATGTGTTAATCTGAAATAAATCCATCATAGGCAGTAACCGCCAGAAACCAAGACACATCTCTGTGTTATACTAAGAGAACCCCCCCCCCCCCCCGCCCTGAGCTGCGCTATCCAATTATTTAAGTAGCCGCTCAGTATACCGATCATTGGCTCAATTACGTGACGAATCGAATAACAAAAAGTCTTGCCTCTGTTCCCATGTGTGCTGCTGTACGGGAGGTGAGGGGCCGGGCTCGGTGACACAATCATCACCGTTATAAGCCGCAACTATTGGGGCGTGGCTTGCAGGGGGGTTTCTCGCCTTCAGGAAACGGGATGTGGGGGGGGGGACGTCGTATATAATGGGGGCCCCGAGAGTGATCGGCCACAAAAATGTCGCCGATTAATCGACATCATAAACCAATCTTCACAGCTCTGTCAAACACTAAAACTATCAAACATCGATTCAGAGGCAAACCTCGATCCCAGTAGGTTTATTGAACATGTAAAGTTCGACGTATAAAGATCAAGGAATACAAAAAAAAGACAACCACTTGAAAGAATACTGAAACACGCGGGGCATTTCAGAAGCTCTCACTGCCTCGTTGTGGGCACTGAGCGGCAAACCTAAGAGCCCTGGGATGCGTTGCATCCTTCTGAAGTTGCCAGGGCCGTGGTGCATTAAGGGCTCTAAGCAGCAAAGGGGGAATAAAAAAAACGGGCTACGAGGCTCGAGTCAAGATCGCGGTTAACACGCCCAGACACGAGCCCAGACACGAACGGAGCCTTCCCCACAATACATCAAACTTATCCGGGGCTGTTCAGCTCAAGATGCAAGCAATTAACACCCAGTCGTAAAAAAAAACACATACCCACACATACAGTGCAGTATAGGACAAACTGTGTCGACTTCACTCCAAAATGTTATTCATTTATCGACCCTGGATGGAATATGCGGCGAGTCAACCCCGACCAGGATTTGAACTCCCATTACTCAGGTAGTTGCACACACCCACTTACTACACAGGTATCATTCGACAGCAAGTTTAGACATTTCCACAACAGTCAGGCCTTATAATAAAAAAAAACCACGGCAATGAAAGGCGATCCTGAAACATTATCCGGGAAAGGAGACAAAACACAGGATCTGGGGGGCTGACTGGGGTGACTCTACGACAGGTGAAGTGCCTGCTGTTAACCCCGCCGACCCCACGGCGTTTTTTTTACCGGAATTTATTTGGGCCGAGGCGACTCTGCACTCAGGAAAGAACCCCCCCCCGCGACACTTCCGAAGCCAAGCCCTGGCTAAGCCCCAAAGCCATCGTTTGTGAGTGTCAACACGAGGTCGACCGGCCCACATTGCGAGGGCAAAAGGCTGCCACCTGTCCTGATTTTTTTTTCCCCCCAGGATCATCCTCTCAGCAAGGTAGCTTCCTCGGGAAATCTGAAAGTCTCCTCGGAACGTCGAGTGGCATTTTTTGGCAAAATTGGTTGACAACACAGCGCACTCGCGACAATGTATTTCACACGCAGTTCTCTCCTCTCGCAGTATACGCGAGATAGGTCTTCTTCCTATTATACATACAGTTCGGTTGATTGTAGATCAGGAGTGGCAATCCTTGCCGGAGCAATACAGTAGGCAGCTCAGGGTCTCAACCAAGGGTTACCGTTCACTTGGATGCTAGAGGCATGTACGGACAGAGAAATCTCTCTCATGCGATTTGATGTGGAGGGGAGGGGTAAGGAGACGCAATATGGAGAGATTCTGTAATCTCTGCTTATCACTGCAAATCATTCTGCTCATCTGAACAAAAGGCTCGGATAATGTAAAAAATGTAGCCACCGCTTCCGGGTGACACTTCTTAGCCGTGGATACGTGTAGACAACCGGATAAATGTGGGGCTTGTGGAAAACTATCCGTGCAAGCAAGTGCTCGTATAAGAGAATGAACTGGGTCACTAACTCTTATCAGCAGTGACAACAGGCGAAAGGATTTTCGCAAACAATAGGATTTTGCAAGGGTCAATTGGGGGGTGCGGGTAATAGTAATATCCGGATAATAGGTAGACGGACAAAAGGAGTTCCACTGTATTTGAAGAGCCCAGCGCAACAATAAAATCCACTTGAAGCCACCTGATATGGCAACGCACTGCACACGCCAGCCGGCACAACGTGACACCTTTGCAGTCTATTTATAGAGACACACGATAACAATGCAAGTGGCTCGGATAGCAAATGGAGCATCCCTTTCAATGTTCTGCTTGCCTTGGTGTTCTTTCCCAAGGCTCAAGCGCTGGACCCTTTTTGAGCCCGGAAAAGTCTCCATTAACCAGAGCAATTAAGGGAAAGCGGCTTAACTGCACATTCCCCCCCCCCCCCTTTCGAAGCCACTCCCGGCAGCACCACTAGTCAGACCGGCAGCCAAAACAGAGCTCGTAAAAAAAACAATCTCACTTTCAGGAGTCTTCTGCCCTTATTGAGCCACAGCGAGACATGCCGATCAAGCGACGCGGTTCTAAACGCACGAGGATATTTCTGACAGAGGAGCACGGGTAAGACAGGTACGATAACGTTTTCGCAACCATGGCCACACCAGTGATTGACGCCCCCCCCCCCGCTCGCAAGTGCTTGCCATGCAACGGCACGAGCAAGTTTGGAGATCCAAGATAGCTTCTGCAGCAGCGACTTAAGTCAAAGGGCTTGTGTCCCCACCACAGCTAGCATCCATTCCATGCCATTCAGGTGTGAATATGCTGCTAGAGATCAGCCAGCAACAATGTGAAAACAATTAGGATAATTTTTTTTTTAAGATACTGGGTAATTGACATGGAAAGACCAACTCCGTGAAATAAAAAATAAGATTGACTTGAGATCAGTAATAGCTACAATTCACTGCTGTACGAAGGCCTCACCAGGGCACGTCAATCGTGGGGTTAGGTTTACCATACTTCACCACAAAGGTCGGTCATAAAGGTCATCTATCTAATGAACGCTTCAAACAAGTACAACAACACATTTTAATGATAAGGTCTGATTCAATCCGGCGACTGAATCTTTCAGGTCTATCGGTTGTCAAATACATTGCAGTATTATTCACTTGTGATCATGTCAGATGGAAAATATGTATAAGTGAGGATTCCGAACAGAGTGCAGCACATAGGTGCCTACCATCAAATCACCCAAAACGTACCAAAACTCACAAGACCTCAGAAGCCAAGCAGCGATGAGCTTGGATGACGCTTGGATGGACGACCATGGGATGCCAATAGGGCCTTAGGGTCACGTGGCAGGCAGCAGAGGACAGTATACTACCAGAGCATGTTTTTTTGGTTGCATGTTCACCACAGGTATATGTGATTAATGCAGACAAGATTCCTTGCAAAAGGTTTCAGTTTGGTGTTTTAACATCTCAACACAACTGTTTTATTATGGCCAGAAAGGGTAAAGCCTATTCTTATATTTTGATACTGGCAAGGGAAGTCCCATGATGTCGCACAGGACAGTGGAGAAAAATTAATGTTTTGCCCTATATTTCTACGCGACTACATATATGTATGCAGAACTTCTTTTGCACCGTACGTAGCCAATCGTGATAATCGGAGGTGCGGGGGAAGGACAACAAACTAAAACTCATCCTATGCTCCCTGCCGCCTTTACTAAACCCGCAGTGACCAGCGTGGTAAAGTATGGTTAAATAACCCTCACGACCGACACAGGTGTTGCGGGGGGGGGGGAGCCTCACCCAGCGGTACATTGACCAAAATGACGGCGCATGCCCATGCTTGACTTCCTGGCCACCCTCCACACGCAGCACTGCGCTCTGTACCGAGAGCCACGAGTGCGTGCCGAGATCTCGAGCGCCTGCCTCTGCCCGTACACGCGGGCGCGATTACCTCCATGGCGACGGCAGCGGTCTGCTGGTCGTAGTGTCCCAGGAGGTTGGGCATGAAGGTCATGTTGTAGGGCAGCTCCTGGCAGAGGCGCAGGCCGATGGGCTCGCACACGAACGCGCCGTGGACGTGCGAGGAGACCGCGTCCGGCCGGCACGAGACCAGCGCCAGCAGCAGCATCAGCCACAACGCTGTCCGTTCCATGTTCGTACGTGCAGAGTACGTGGTGGTGGTGGTGGTGGTGATGGTGGAGTTCTCTGAATTCAACTCAAGCTGCGGGCTGCATCTCCCAGCGTGAACTGTGTGCAGATAGCTGGCCGTGACAGGTCTTATTTGTTATTTATTTGTCTTCCTTGTTTACCAAGGCTGGCCTCATTGAGTCTCAAGACTCATTTTTAAGGAGGGGTTCGGTTTTGGAATGTTTGAGTAAGTCTTTTTTTCCATTTCTTCTGTCTTGCATGTGTGAAGACGCCACCGGGCAGGGAGAAAACCCAGGCATTCGATGAGCGAGAACAAGCACTCGCACTCTGCAGAGATTAGGTTCGAGTCCTACTTGCTGTCCTGTTGTCGGCTCGCACCTCGCAGCCTACGGGGCAGGTGTCTCAAGCGCACTTCATCTCTCGAGCTTTGCAGGCTCATGTTCCAAACCTATTATTTGTATGCGCGAGTGTCAACGTTAAAAAGCAGACATGTGCAGCTCGTATCTTCGCCTTCAGATATTAATACAGATTGAGAAGCCCATCACTTTTAAGCCAGCTTGTTGCCATGCCGGAGCGATCAAATTTTTTTTTTTACAAAACTTAACTTCTGAAAACACGCGTCGCTGCTGGAGTCCATCAGTCTGCTCGAACATCGAATGGTTCCCCCCCAAGGTGTGGATCATCAGCGGCGGTTCATTTATCATCCGCAACAAAAAAAACAAGCTTCTCACGTTTTCAGAGCCCTCCGGGGCATCATCCAAAGACCTGCACAGCAAGACTGCAGGGGGAAAAAACAAAAAAACACACACGAATGGCATGCATTGAAACGCACGTCATACATGACATATACATGACACGTTATACATGAAATATAGCCACCACAGTGTTCGTCCCCGCAGGCTGACCGGTATAATCTATAGTGGGTTTTCCTGAAAAATTCCAATCCTCTTTACCTGCCAAGGTATGTCTTTCCACGTTTTGCCAATTTTTCTCTGTTCAAAACTAAATGGGATTCGTTACATGCCGCACTCGCATAATAATGGGCAAAACATGTTTCAGATGGTGATTTGAATTGGAAATCTTTATGTCAATGCTGCGAGTCGTTTACTTTTGGGGTGGCCACGATGCATGGACTGATCAATCGATACTGATTATTAGGCTCAAGATATACATGCAATAAATCACATGCGGATTAACCAATGTTTTTTTCTTTCAATTCGTATATGTTGTATGTAGCAGGATCCCGTCACCCACGCAAACATGCAGCCACTGGATGCGCCGGTAATTAATAAAAAAAATGAATAGGGTCAAAATCACGGAGCCTTACTGTTCAGCAAGCATCAAAGTGCGTGCAGGATGCAGCGACTTAATTTGAATTTTTTAAAACACAGCAGATTGGCGAATGTGGAAAGACGTACCGCGGTGCGCAGCGAGAACTTGCGTTTGAGAAACCGGATCTAGAGCACCACACCACGGACTACAACACTGGGTCGCTGCCAGCGAGCGATAAGGCTTACTTATTTAATTAACTCGCCAGCATGGATGCCTGGCACAGCGGGGGGGACATTTCCTAGATTTACTTGTTAAAGTTTTTGGCACCGCCTAATAATAACGTTGAAAACGTAGATTTTTAAATAAATCCGCTCGGCGGCGCATGTGTAAGACAGGTCCATAATTACAGTGCTTATCTAAGCCGGGCGGTGTGTTGTCAGCTAACCTTTTGCAGAGCTAGGATCGTTCCAACATCGTGTATTAGTGCCGGTTAAGCAACGCAAAGTCAGTTCAGTTCCGGAGCCTCTATTTTGCCACGAGAAATTATCTCAACGGCGAGAAACTCACAGAGACAAAAGGCCTCTTTTTGTGAAGGAGATCTGAGATGTGTGATATCTGCCAACACAATTAAATTCTACCTGTTGGCTAGACATGTGACGATTCACCGATTACAAGGTATTCCTACGCTTTGTTAATTCACTGAAAAGGGTCAGTCATGGGGGTAGTTTGACCTTACTTCGCTATGTTGGTCACAGCGGATTGCAAAAGGGAGAGTCCAGGACCAATTTGGAATATCACTCGCCACCGATGTTAACCGTAGCTGAACATTCAACTCGGGCCGTTGTGCTTGTCGTGCAGTGCGCTAACCATTGGACGACCACTGAACCCCCGTTGACATATTAATGCAAAATAATAAAACTAGCCACAGCTGCAGTGGTTCCCTCGTACAACACAAGCTTTACAACTGTGCAGTGCATAAACAAAAGTTCAGTGTTTACCGGGTGTGGGTGCGTGTGTGTGGCATAGCGACGGGGAAGATAAATTACAGCACCATCGTTTTTGTTTCTGTAAAAAAAAAAAATCCATTGAGCATGCCCAAGAAGCTTGAACCCACAGCACAATGAAGCGTTAAAATGACCTTTGCACCGCTCATACAGAGGAGAAAAACTGACACCTCCCCCCCCCAACCTCCAGGTGAGTGGGGGCTCAAGTGATCCTGTTCGGGCTTAGGGAGTTTTTCCCCCCAAAATAAAAATAAAACCCCCAGGTGTGGCCACAGTGGCTAAATGAAGCGTGCACACTTTGCTTTGTCAGAATAAAAATGGAAAGCGTGAACTCTTCCAATTACTGCACCCGGATTTTCTCCAACTCTTGGCACTCGGCGGCAAAAACCCAAATTCCTTATTGGAACGTGAACTGTTCTTTTGTTACCCTAGTCCCAATTCGGCGGCTTTTCAGAGTGTATTTAAAAGTAAAAGTGCATGCACAGGGTGGAATATTTGTACATTACCGACCCGCCGCACAAACTCGGCCAATTTAAACGCAGCGCTGTAAGCCAAGTTGTGCAACTTTAGACGCACGTGAGCTTACGTTGCAATGTTGACCTTCCCGACCTCATACACGTACATAACTTGAGAGACTAAAAAAAATGTTGACAAATTGTTCATTTCTATACAGGTGTGGCAGCATGCCCCTGCACAGTGTTCCAGTGTCTCCCCTCCAACACCAATCAAAGTAGGTATCTCATGTCACAACCTTTCAAGTGAGCCCGTGCCCTCTCCTGTATGTATGTTCAACTTCTTTCGCACTGTACGAAGCCAACCGTGCTAATTGGAGGTGCAGGGGAAGAACAAACTCAACACAAAAATAAGTTCTGAACAAATGAGTTTTTCAATCCGTCAGTCTGTCAGTCATTCTGCTGCAGCAGCAGCAGCAGCAATAAAGCCAGATTGTCGTCCCCTCGGTCTCCTTCACCCCCACCTGGTGCTGTGTTAGTCTATGAGTCATACGTGAGTCTATGGGTCCTATGTGATTATATGGGTCCGATGTGATTATATGGGTCCCATGTGAGTATATGGGGCCTCAGTACATCTACGAGTCTTATGTGTGCACTTTGGGTTCTTTGTAAGTTTTCCAGGGCCCTATGCGAGTCTGAGTCTTAAGTAGGGCAATATGTCACATGTTAGACTGTGGGTTATATGCGAGTCTATGAATCTCTATGTAAATATATGGGTAATATATTATTCAATGGTTTCTAAGTAAGTCTATGGTTTCTATATAAGTCTATTGGCCCTATGTCAGTTAATGGGTCCCATGTCAATTAATGAGTTCTAGATCAGTCTGTTAGTCAATGGCCTATATGCGAGTCTATGTTAGTGAATAGTGAATAGGTTATATACGAGTCTAAGGGTCCTAAGTTTATACTCTTTGGTTCTTTCAGTAAAGTCACGTAGATAAAAAAATAATAATAAAGTTTTTCTATTGGTGCTTTGTCAGCCAAATGGTAATTACGTAATATATTTAATCTATGGATGCTATGTACATCTATGCTTCCAATGACAGTCTATAGATCTCTTTGTTAGTCCAAAGATCCTAAGTTTATTTCAGGATGCTATGCAAGTCTATGGGTCCAATGTAACGAGAATATGGCTCCTATGTGAGTCAATGGGTCCCCTGCTACTCTATGGATATCTGTGCAAGTCTATGGATGCTATGTACATCTATTCAATCTATGTTAGTCTGTAGATCAATACATTCCTTATACCATGGTCGATAAATACTGTAGACCTCCAACTTATTCATGGCAGAGTTATGTATCACAAAGCTGACTCACACCCAAGTCCCCCGGTTTCTCTCTCTCCCACTGAAGTCGTCGCCCCTGCCTCTCTGAAGCAATTTTTTCCCACCCCCAATCTCTTAAACCGACAAGGCGTCAGCCCAACACAGAGAGGGTAGGCGGCACCGCCTGAAAAACCCTGTGGAGTCAAAGTTCGATACCCGGTAAACACGGCCAGTCTCGGTGACACAACCCATCGTGCTGCGCACAGCTGAAGAGGTCACCCATCTTCAGTGACAACAGCTTACACACGCGCGCGCTTTACACCGGACATGAAAATTAACCCACTGCCACTTTTGTTAATCCGCCGCTGGACGACGGCTCTCCCCACACCATTCCGGCCATTGGGATTGTGTGACCATACTTCGACCGCGCTGCTCGGCGCGGTACGGGTTGGTGGTGGTGGCGAGCCCCACGATCCGGGCTCGGGTCACACCCGCCACCGACGTTAGCCGTGGTCAGGGGCGGAGCCACAGGGGGGGGCTGGGGGGGGGCTCAGCCCCCCTGAAATTTTGGGAAAGTCGGTAATCGGGATAACCGGATATCCGGCTGCTGCAAAATGCTGCAGGCTGCCACCTCGTGGTGCCCTGCAGGCTGCCACCTTGTGCTGCCCTGCAGGCTGCCACCTTGTGTGCTGCCCTGCAGGCTGCCACCTTGTGTGCTGCCCTGCAGGCTGCCACCTCGTGCTGCTCTGCAGGCTGCCACCTTGTGCTGCCCTGCAGGCTGCCACCTTGTGTGCTGCCCTGCAGGCTGCAACCTTGTGTGCTGCCCTGCAGGCTGCCACCTTGTGTGCTGCCCTGCAGGCTGCCACCTTGTGTGCTGCCCTGCAGGCTGCAACCTTGTGTGCTGCCTTGCAGGCTGCCACCTCGTGCTGCCCTGCAGGCTGCTTGAGCGGCAGCCTTTCGAACTTATCAGCCACTTAAGCGGCTCCGACCTATTAATAAACTCCGAGTTCAAATCCAATCAAATGTGTTTTATACATTTGTGGAGCCCATTGGAAAACATAAACACTGAGATATCTCAGAATATTGAAGTCAGCCCTCCCCCCCCCCCAAGTCAAAATCCTGGCTTGGCCCCTGGCCGTGGTTGGGAGATGAACCTACCCAGCCAGGTTAGGAGAGCAGCGAGTTAACAACTCAACACCGCCTAAGTACTGCAGTATTTTTCTGAGGTGGGAGTTGTGTATGAAAAACCCATTTTGTAGGGCCCTTTACACGGGCTATTTTCACACACACACACAAAACCTAGCACCGTCTACAATTAACTAATTTATATTTTCGTCATCACGGTCGCTGCGAAGGTAAGGCCCACAAAAAAGACCACAAAAACTCCACATGCCGGCCACAGCAACGTCCAGACACTTTTTTTAAAAGTTGTAAATTGTCCACGAACTGTTGAAATCGTGGTAGAGTGACCATTTAAAGACACGACTTGGCACACACACACAACAACAAAAATAGTTCTTATCTTGTAGCACCCACACGGGCAAGGGGCTCAAGTCTGCCCAGGTCGTTTGACATTCGGTTAATTGCCAAAGGAGGGTGAGTGAAGCAAAACAAATACTTTAAGGTGGCTTTTCGGACGAGCCAATCGTGAATTCGGGTACGGCGTTGTGGAACTAACTGATGGACACAATATACATTTTTTTTTTACAAAAAAAACATTGTGATCGGGGTAAATGCATGAATACGCGATGCCCGCGTGACATAAGTATAACACACTGAGTGCGTATACACACACACGTACGTATATAGAATAAACACGGGCACATGCGCAACAAATAAAGCGCAAAGGAAGATAAAAACAGACACAATATATACATAGTTGTATACAATAGCAAATACTGTACATATACACATACAGTAGTACACATATACAAGACATATATGTATTCTTGGTTCTTTCGGTAAAGTCACGTAGAAGGGAAACAATACAATACTAAAAATAGAAAACAATATTTTGTGGTTTTCACACCTGATGATGATTGCGTGTGTTGCAGTCGAAACGTCGTGAGAATTTTATTGTTTTATATTTTTATTATTTTATTGTTTCCCTTCTACGTGACTTTACCGAAAGAACCAAGAATATGAATCCCTGCAGTCACGAAAGCTTTAAATCGAAATTTAAGACGTATGTATACGTATCCGCATGTATTATATACACACGCGTTCCTATGTTTGTTTACTGGACGTCTGTGAAAGAGCTTTATAGCTCATCGGATTCCTCCAGAATAAATACAGATTCTGTACAACACACAGACAGGAGGATACGCGTACATACATAGAACACAACAACTTAGAACACACACAATTATAGAACACATAGAAAACACACAGATGGCACGCTGAACACACGCACGATTACAGCGCTGGGCACATACAAAAACCACACACGTGTACTGTACAACCATCCCCATCACACGCACTGGCGACACAAATCCAATCAGCAGTCGACTCGTCCACACAACACGTGTTGTGTGGTGTGTACACACACCACACAACACGTGTACACACCCCACACGTGTTGTGTGTACACACACCACACAACACGTGTACACACACCACACAACACGTGTACACACCCCACACGTGTTGTGTGTACACACACCACACAACACGTGTACAAACACCACACAACACGTGTACACACACCACGTGTGTGTGCACACACGCAACACACTCCACACGTGTGTGTTACACACACCACGTGTGTGTTACACACACCACACGTGTTGTGTGTAACACACACGTGTACAACACACACACATGTGTTGTGTTACACACGCGTGTTAACACGCACACACGTGTTGTGTTGTATGTACGTGTTCCAAGTGTGTGTTCTACCTTCGTGTCATGTTGACAGGACAAGGTTTGTAGTGTTACAGTGCGTGTTCGTTTGTAGTGGAGTGGGCTGCGCGCGATTCGCAACCTGAGTTTGATTCCCGCCCACGTCCAACTGCAGTTGACGATGATTTGACTCTGGTCCTGGACCTCCGCTAGGTCGACTCGGCCTTAAATCATTCGCCGGTGGCGGTGTAGCATCAAACAACAAAAAATCAGCACCGGGAAGACAAAGGCGGCCGCGCCTGGTGGTGCTGGCGACCCATTGACCCCTCCAGCTCCCTCGGCCTTCATAGGTGCTCGCTAACAGCATTTGCCCCTACAGTCTACTAAGGCCATACGAGGGGGGGTCTTTGTCTATATAGTACTGTATGTGTAATAGTATGCATGTGCTACACATATATAATCCACTGCTGTGAGAATGCGTGCGTGTGTGTGATACATGCGATACGTACGCGTATCTCCTGCACAATGCAATATGTGTATACTGTGGTGTATGTACGCTTGCTGGGTCAACGCGCGCGTGTGTATGTGTGTGTATATAGGTGTAGTTCGCGTGTGTGTAGCAAGTACATGTGTGTAGAGCGTGAACATGTGTACGTATAGACACACACACACTCACAGACACACACACAGAGACAGACACACACACAGACACAGACAGACACACACACAGACAGACAAACAGACACACACAGAGACCTACCTCGCTCTTTCCCTTTCGTTCGCCTCCGCGTCCCAACAACAGCGATGCGAAGAGGCGAGATCGCGGCGTGGCGAGGGGGCGGAGCCTGGGGTGAGAGGGTGGGCGGGGTTAGGGGTGAGAGGGGGCGGGGTTAAGGGTGGGCGAGGGCAAGGGCGGGGCATGATAGAGGGGCGGGGTTAGGACAGGGCCTTGGATGGGGCGGGATTAAGGGCGGGGTCTGATTGAGGGGACGGAGTTAAAGACGGGGCATGCGAGAGTGGGCGGGGTTAAGGAAGAGGCTTGATTGGTACATGCCCCGCCCATTACTTCAAGCCCCACCCCCCGTATTTTAAATCAAGCACAACAACATTCCGTCCATAACAATCACACACTGTGTGCGCCTTTAAAGTATACATAAATATCCTGTATATAATAGGAGACGTTTCGGCCAATGGGCCTTTTTTTTTCTTAGCGCATAGAGAGGCCTATCTATCGTCTCTTGTTTTAAAATCTGGTTTCACACCCACACACGAACATCCACCGGATTATAAGACGCAGCACACACCTACCGGATTATAAGACGCACTCCACACATGTCAGATTATAAGACGACCCACACACACACATACCGGATTATAAGACGCATCACACACGCCTACCGAATTATAAGACGCAGCACACGCATACACGATTATAAGACGCACTCCACACATACCGGATTATAAGACGCATCACACACACACACACACACCGGATTATAAGACACAGCACACACCTACCGGATTATGAGACGCACTCCACACATACTGGATTATAATACGCATCACACACACACACACACACCGGATTGTAAGACGCAGCACACACCTACCGGATTATAAGACGCACTCCACACATACTGGATTATAATACGCATCACACACACCGGATTATAAGACGCAGCACACACCTACCGGATTATGAGACGCACTCCACACATACTGGATTATAAGACGAATCACACACACATACCGGATTATAAGACGCATTCCACACATGTCAGATTATAAGACGAACCACACACATACCGGATAATAAGACGCATCACACACCTACCGGATTATAAGACGCACTCCACACATGTCAGATTATAAGACCAACCACACACATACCGGATTATAAGACGCATCACACACACGCATACCGGATTATAAGACGCAGCACACACCTACCGGATTATAAGACGCGCTCCACACATACCGGATTATAAGACGAACCACACACACATACCGGATTATAAGACGCAGCACACACCTACCGTATTATAAGACTCACTCCACACATGTCAGATTATAAGACGCATCACACGCACACACCGGATTATAAGACGCATCACACACACACGCCTACCGGATTATAAGACGCACCCTCATTTTGTTTAAAATTCTGGGAAAAGAGTAGGGTAGATGCATGGTCACTGTAATTTGTGTTTCAATCCACTGCTGGATGAGGGGTTCCACACTCACGCCATGCAAGCAGTTATAGTTAATTGGACGATACTTCACCACGATGCTCCATGGGGTGTTGGGGAAGGTGGGTGGGAGGGTGGTGGTGAGCGCAGATCAACACAATTGACTTTGCTGCATCGCCCTCTACTGCTACCAAAGCCTATAACACCCATGTTGGATGCATTGCGGTCACATCAAAGCAATATCCGGGCTCAAACCTGCTTAGCTTTCCAGATCTGACGAGGTAGGGCAACATCTGGCCACATGCAAGCGTGTGTAGAGTTCGGCAGAAGCTAAACAGTGTTGTGCTTGGATGGGAGACCAATCACAAATAATTCGGGTGTTATAGGCTTAACCAGATAAGAGACCAAGTCGACTAGCGTGATTATAATTTTAATAGATACCTAGATTTCTTAAAATCATCTTATCAGCGACGCACTGTATCATAACTTTAAAGTATATATATTATTTTATATAAAGC